TCTAAATCTGGTTCTACCAAATATATTATACGGGCTGTCCGTATTTGGCGCTGTAAATTCCGAATTAACAACAATCCAATGTTTCTTAGATCGATGTTATAAGCGCAAGTATACATCCGACCACATTAATGTTTATGAATTGTTAGTTCAACAGGACACACGTATCTTCAAGAATGTTTTTAATAATACAATACACCCTTTAAGAGCTATAATGCCAAAAAAGAAATCAACCAAGTACAATCTGAGGAAAGAGACAAGTCACCATCCTAAAATAAACACTGATAGGTTCAAAAACACGTTTGTCAATCGCTTAATTTTTAAACATAATCTAGTCTTATAATTTTTATCTTAATTTTCTCTGTAATTTATATATATACCTTCTTTTAATGTTGTAACATAGGATATGTGATTATTTATCTTATGACTTAATAAAGATTCAATTCAATTCAATTTCAAATTGGTCAACGAAGTGAAAAGTTGGTTAATTTACAATATTTTTCTCACTGTTTGCAATATTACTATAATATGTTATAAGTTTCCAAAAAATACTAATGTATATTGTGCAGCTCCAAAAACTATCCATACTCGTCCCACAGAAGGGATTGGAAATTCCTAGGAGGTTGGGGGGCTCTTTAACACCAAAATATTATGCATGAAGCTTGACTAGAAATTCCATAGGGGTGGAGGTCTTCCATGGTGGTGGTATGAATATTATCTGGAATAACACATTGCAGCTTTAAGCCTTAACCATTTTATCGTTGGTCCTGAGAAATGACCTTGCTGCAATGTCAGTAGCAAAACATAACACCTGGAATTTAATTTCTAGTGCACACGTGAAAATATTTTATTTGACTACTTTGTCTTGTGAAAAAAAAATTTCTTCATGTTGACATCCCTCGTCTTTTTTGACTGGGTTATACCTCTCCGATGACATGATCTTTGTGGTCCTTCTCCATGGGTAGGTTAATGTGGATTCTCCTTCCAAACTGTGGCCACATTCTATTTTTAATATCACCCTTGAGTCTATCAGACATGTCCCTCCTTATTCGCTTTGTGCTATCCAAAATCTGCAGGACAAAGATGTAGATCTATTTGTTGTTCAAGCATCACTGAATCACAATAAAGTAATATTTTAAAAGGAATTAAAAAGGAGGTGAAATTTTTCCTTTGACTTCTTATGATCCATGTTTTAGACTGGCAGTGAAGGTTTAAAAGTTTACCTTATATCCTGGAAACTTTATAACTTCTGACATTAAGATCTTTGCTGGGCAGCCAAACTTAATTGTGTCTTGGGGTAAAAACCTCCTTCCACTGAATGAATGATCACCTTCCTGAAATGCATCATTATGTTTCAAGATTAAAAAGAGAAGGGTTTTAAGTTGGTCTTTTGACATTAATTGATGACACAGGATGTTCTAATTGTGAATATTTGTCTTTCATATTTTAACCTTTTGTGTAGAAGACTTGGCCTTTTCACTTTTCTTCCTGTCTGGCCCATGTTGGCAATCAAATATTTTTGATCCAATAATCATGAAAGGAATTCCATCAAAGGGTAGTTTCTCTCCTTTAAAAAAGATTTTTCTTGGCTTTCCAAATGGATCTATCAAAATATAATACAAAACTCATTCAATGGCATTATGCTTGATTTAAACGGGGGGACTGTTACTGTATTTTTTTACCCAAAGATGGTTGAAGAAGACTTGGGCATTCAGGCAAGAATACAATAATTTTGACAGGCTTCACACTCATTGCCCAAACAGTGTACATCTGGGCAATGTGCTAAGAAACACCTACTTTTAGTTACCTTGGGCTTTTCCAAAACAATTCTATGTATCCCTATACGCTGTTTTGCCAGTAATCTTGGTTAAGGGGTCGTCATTTGTACCTCACACCACTGCTTACATAGTTCCTCAACCTTTATATCCAGAAAGGTTCATACACCTCACCACCACCCCCCCTACTTCCTTTCTTTTAGGGAGATTTAAGTTCAGCTTGTTCTTTCCTTAATTGTCTATTTTAGTGATAAGATTTTATATAAATATAGAGGCAAGACCGATACAACGTAGATAAGTAAATTTTTTAAGACGGAGCACTATATTTCGGAAGGCCAAACCAGCCTTCTTCAGGTGCAGTGGGAATTAAGAGAGAATTGGGGTGATGCTTCATAGATAGCTGTATGATGTAGCAGCGGAAATATGTAAAACTAATTTGATTGACAATGAGATAACAATAAAAATAGAAATAGTGAGCAAAAATAGAAATGAAGTAAGGTAAATTGGATAAATAACTAGAAACAAATACATTTCTTCGCCAGCGTTAAGGCCATCTGGATAAATAGTGTTGCCCCTTGAAATTAAAAAAGCTTCCCTGGCCTTACGTATCGAGTCTCTCTTGGAAAACACTTTTTCGATAGCGATTATCTCCATGTCGTGAGCAGAGTGGTTAGGAGAGGAAATGAAGTGTTCTGCCCCTGTAGTAGGTTTAGATTTAGAGTTAGGTTTATCAATGGTACGGCGGTGTTCATTAAAACGGTCTTTTAAACGTCGTTTAGTTTCTCCTATGTATTGTAAGTTACAGCGGTTACACTGAATTAAGTAGATAAGGTTTTTAGTGTCACAGGTCAAGTGAGATTTAATGGGACGTGTTTCGCCGGTAGAAAAAAAGGTATAGTTAGTAAGACCGTCAGAGATGTAGGGGCAAGTAGCGCAGTTTCTACCACAACGGAAAGAGCCGGGGGGGAGTTGAGGATGGGAAGTGGTAGAATTAGAGGGGAGTTTGGCTGTTACTAATGTGTCGCGAAGGTTGGGGGAGCGTCTGAAGGCGACAACTGGCAGCTGAGGAAAAGCTTTTTTGCAGCGGTTAGAAGACTGCAGTAGATGCCAGTGTTTTTTGATGATGTTGGAGATGTGAGGAAGCGACGGATTAAAAGTAGTTATAAATGGAATACGGTTAGGTTTTTTTACGTCTTTAGTTTGTAAGGTGAGTGTGCGGGAGATGTCAGCGGCGCGTTGTATTTGTTTGGTGACGAATTTATGGCTGTAACCTCGTTTGAGAAGGTATGNAGGTAAGTTGAGCGGCGCGAGTCTCAAAAGCTTTATCTGTAGAACAGATACGTCGTAGGCGGAGTGCTAGACTGAACGGAATGGCTTTTTTGGTATGTAATGGATGGCAAGAAGAGTGCAATAGATACATATGTTTGTCTGTGGGTTTGGTGTAGAGGTCAGTAGGGATATTACCGTCGGTGGTTAAAGAGATACGTCAAGGAAAGCCACTTTAGTGGAAGAGTGTGAGCTGGTGAATTTGATGGTGGGGTGGATATTGTTAAGGTAAACGACGAAAATGTTTAGGTTATCTAAACCTTCGGTCCAGACCATAAAGATATCGTCGATGTATCTAAACCAAGTGTGAGGTTTACAAGGGGCATTTTTCAGAGCGTTAGCTTCGAAAAGACCCAGAAAAAGGTCAACGAAGGAAGGGGCCATTTTGGTACTCATGGCTGTGCCGTGAACTTGGAGGTAATGAGCATCATTTAAAGTAAAATCGTTCCTGGTAAGAACCGTACTAATGAGGTCACAAAGTGTGACGGTAGGAATAGGGGTATTGGAGGAGGTACACAGAAAATGGTCACCAGCATTAATACCTTCGTTATGTGGGATATTGGCGTAGAGGGATGAAACATCAAGTGTAACTAGTCAGGTGCATGACTTTGGTGAGTAGAAGTGGCCATGCGCTCCCAGGTGGATTATGGCACGCCCCCTAAGTACTTTATAAAGGGAGTACAACCCCAAACCCCCCTAGAGGGAGAAAAAGGTATTACCTCCAGTTCCAAACATTTTGTCAGATTTGTAGCAAGAAAATTTTGTCGTGGTTTCTTGCGCGTATTTCTTCAGTAACAGTATGGCTTCATCTTGCGAATCAACATATCCATAGTTTGGGTTTTCAGGGCTTTTAAAGATTTCCTGCCATGTGCTCGCAGGGTTTGAAGAGTCAGCATTTGAACCAGCAGGACCAAGCGAGCTGCTTGTTTCCTGCTTCTCTGAGGATTCATGTTCCAGGTTATCCATGATGAAAGGGCAGCGCCAAGAGGAAATTATTAATCTTAATGGAACTTCCAAACTCGTGGGAAAATACACTCGTGAAGACCTCGGGATTCAATACTTACGAATTGCCCGCGAAAAGACCTGCTTTGTCTCTTGGGTTGGAGAAAACTGTACTTCGTCTACTCGGCAAACATTCCTCGGCAGTTCGGAAATGAGCGGAACGTCACTTTCATGTATGGCGCCGATTCCATACTTCAAAATGACCCACACATTTTTTTGTTTTTAGCTGATGATCACAGGTTTTCAATCTTTGTCAGACTCGTATTATTGATTTCATTTTAATATAAAACCACTAACACACGATATGTTTGTTGACAAGTCCATGTAAAAGATGTACTTGAAGATGAAAACCCGAGCAATTATATGTTATCGGTTAAAAACCTTTGAGGTCGTAAAGGTTGCCTCTCTCGGCGAAAGAATGAGACACATTATACTTGCAATGGCAAGCGCCTATATTTCTGCGAAAAGGTAGTGTACGTATTTTGCCCTGATTTACTGCTTGTTTTGAATGAACCCGAAGTGTTGCGACGAACACTTCCGAAAAAGGTTACGAAGATTGGGAATGACGTCACGTCATTCTGAAATATGGAGATGATGCTAACCAACTTTCGCACACCGCGGGACCACAGTTAATAGAGGGTCCCCTCTATTAACTATGGAGGGACACAACTATGGTGGATGCCCATATTTGGAAAAGGCTCTGACGTCAGGTGAAAACTTTGTCCTCCAACATGGCGGAGAAGATCCCGTGACTTCTTAATGCAAGGAGCCTATTAATCTCAGAATTAATCTATTTTCCGTTCTGTTGTTCTTTTAGTTCAGCTGTAGGAGTTCTTAACAGAAGACGATCGCCAAGGGCAGTTTCGTGGGAAATCATTAGGACCGACGTCCCGCGTGACGCAAAGAATCTTCAAAATTATTTCGTAATGTTGCACCGAAGTCAAAGCGACGCTAGCTGAAGAGTCAACAGTCGGTAGCTCGCAATGGCTGGATTGGATGGAAGCGTTCTTTTGACAGGTAAGTAATTTCCTCCTTTAAGTAACAAATACAGTGATATCGATCTTCTTCTGCTACAAATCCTGGCTGAATGCATCCATAAGTTTTGACGAAGGAAGCTTTAGCTCACTACTGCTCGAAAATTACCACGAAGATGTGTGACCTCTCACGCGAAAACGTTCCTTAGGAATGAACACACTGGCAAACGAACGGATGAGAAACGGTTAGCCAAGCCGTTTGAAACGGAACGGCCAAATGGATGCACGGATGAAGAAAATATTCGCACGAATGAAGTCAAACGGAAACACGGTTGAAAAAAATATTCGCACGGATGAAGTCAAACGGATACACGGATGAAGAAAATTCTTGCACGGATAAAGTGAAACCGACACACGGCTGACAAAAACTTTTGAACGGGTGCAGTCAAACGGATACACGGCTGACAAAAAATAATTGCACGGATGCAGTCGAACGGATGAACTGATAAAAATTATTGAACGGATGTGGTTGAAAGAATGAACGAATGAATAAAAATTTAATAATTAATTTTGAACCGCTGCGGTCGATCGGCCAGACGACCGAAGATAATAATCGTAATCGTAATACTCTTATTCTGGAACAAGCGACTTTGCAGCTTTATAAGAACGAACAGCTCGATCATTTTCTAATAAAGGACAACTGATTGATTCGAAAATCCTGATCTGCGTTGTAATTCATAGTTTCAAGAGTAATTTTTTTATTGCCTTTGCCGCGGAGAAACGACAGC